TTTACAATGCAGCTAAATCTGTTGATAGTCCTGAAACAGGAGCTACTGGGTAGATCAGTAGGTTGGGGACCAGGAGGCTGGCTGGTTAGTTATACCCACGCTGGGCCCTTAAACTAGGCCCTTGGCCCTGTCCTTCAGAGATGCTGTCTGTCCTGGCACTATTAACCCAAGATTCCATTACTTTTATGTTGCTTTAGAGAAAAACATTTGCCAGATAAAGAATTTACCACCAGGGTGAGGCTGCACAGACATAAAATTAGAATACGTGCCACAGATTTTATTATGCTTTTTCATCCTCTGAGTGGCTTGATTTAAGTGTTTTATCTCTTTATATGTTTGTCTTTTTTATCAGGCAAGATCAGATTTGAAGCAGATTTAGTATTACAGTGGCAACAGTCACTCAACCATAGAGTCATAAGTCCAGTTCGTTATGTACTACACCACCTTCAACTGCCTCTGGGAAAAAACGATTAAAAAAAAAAACACTCAAATCTGACCAATGAAAGGAGTTAGGTCCTACAGAAAGTACAAAGTCACAATGAGCACTGCTGTGTTTGACTTGGGACCTACAGGTTACCCTGAAAGTGATTTTTTTGAAGCTCAAACACTGTTAGGGTCATGGGTTCCTCTGCAGGGGAGTAAACCGCAGACTCCGAAACGGCGTATGTGAGGTGACTGAAGGGGGCACTCTGGAGTCACCGGAGGAACAGGAAGAGGAAGATGAAAGGCTGTGATCAAGTACATACCTGGGGAGGGACAAAACGTTTCAGGCCTGGTGGAATGCTGGGCCGGGGGTCGTTTGATATCGGGGTCACCTCTCAGGGAACCCAGGTGCTGAATGTTCTCTCCTACGGTACTGGAGATTTGTAGTGCAAATACAACCTTTTCCAAAGGACAGCACTTTCTATTCCATGGCGGACCCCCGGCTGTAAGCTTTTGTTCACGGACCACTTGCATCTCGCTGCAAGGGGTCGAACATGCTAGACTGCTCTGATGGAGACAGACCAAAAATATATCTCCCCCTGGTTGAAGCCGGGGGTGGAGGGTGGGGGGGTGCAGTAAGTGGGGGTGGGGGAAGCAAAACAAAAACTGTTCTTTCAAAAGGATGCACTCTCCATCGGTTGACAGGTGAATGAACTTTGCAGCGATGCATGATGGGTATGCGCTGGGAACGCCCCAAGACCCCTTTATAACAAATCTCAATCTGAAGAGTGCTTATTAAAAATAAAACTCTTCCTAGTGATGGTTCCCCTGACTTCCACGCCTGCTCAGCAAGCCATAACCCGTCTCTGCCTGTGAACCCTTTCTTCTTTATTTTGTCTGCTTGTTTTAAACGTTTAAAACTTTTCAAACAGAAAAATCAGGACTTTTGGCACCCTCACTTAGCCTGAGCAAGATCTACCAAGCTGGCTGGCATCACTGTGGTCCAGAGTCACCATTTGGGAGAAAAAAGCTTTAGCCTGCAGATCTGACACAAAAATATCAGCTTTTACTTCCTGCATCATCAACCCCCTCCTCCCACCATGATGACAGTGGTCGCCGCGGTCAGTTTCTCTGCCTCTTGCCCCACACGTCTCTCCACCCCTCCCCCATCTGGGACTGGCAGAGAGTAGCTATTGGGCCTCTGCTTTCATTAAGGCCTTTACTTTATGACAAAGCCAACTCTGTGTCAGACAGATATGTCACACGCACCCAGGGGTGCATCTAGCCAGGGCGAAAGGGGAACATTCACAGCGGGGCAGATCTCACCTGGCAATTTGCTCTCCGTAAAGCAGCGCAGCTAAATTGGAGGTGAGCTACCTGCAAAGCGGATCCATCAGCAGGTAAACCCCCAACACCCACAAAAGGCCATTTGCCGCTACGTTGGGAGGAAGCCTGTCAGAATCTGATAAAACCGATTACATATTAATGCCGCATCAATGATTCAACCCCCTGCCCAGACGAAAATCACGGAGAACAAAGAGGAAGTAGGATTTTTGCTGCCTTTTGTCATGAATAAAGTCTCTAATCCTTGATTAGATTAGCAGTGTAGAAGGTGTGATCAGCACACTTTTGATAAACCAGAATCAGTTTACAACCCTGTGGTATTAATTTGCAGATTCCCTGTCACTGAGCTGCCAGGACCTAAATACAAACGAAACGTTTGCTTTTGACCGATCCAGCAAATGGCCACAGCAAATATGAGGCATGCAGTTAGGCAGGTCTGAAGGTAAACACAATATTTTAGCATTTTAGGGTGACCATATTCTGCTTTGCCAAAAATGGAACATCAGGGGCAGGAAATGTGCACACAGAAAGTATTCTGAGTGTAGAAAGCAAATGTCAACATGACATTTCAGGCATTTTTAGGCTCCAAAAACGAGGATGTATGGTCACCCAAAGCATTTTGGATTTAGCGTAGCCTTTTAGCTTTGCTGCTAAGATGGTTATGATGTTCAGGGTGGGATGATTGTTGGGCATATCTCAGCCTCTGTTTTGATATGAGCATAGCATATTTTTGTGTGTTTATTGGTAGAAAAACCGAAGGACCTTTTTAGCGCCACAAAATAGCCTAAATGAGAGGGCATCGTCATGCTGCTGGCATACTACCTGAAGTGCATTAGCACAACGTAACTCGGTGCCGGTGTTTGACAAAGGTGTCCAATTACCTCCCCAGATGCTTTCAGCCGCACCATTCGTTCTGAAGAGTGTCACCTGGTAGGCTGCAATACTGAATGTGATTTATGAGAGATTCCTGCAGTGTGATCTGAGGGTATTGTCAGGTCTAAATCGGTTAAAACAAAAAAAAACTGCAAGTAATTTAGGATAAAATGTCAGAAAAGTGACAATTTAAAAAAGGAAGGCAGATTGACGTAGCTCTGGCAACTGCAAGTAGTACCGATTCCCAGTTGGGCATGGGTCTTGTGCTGAAAACTGCCAAATTAAAGGAATCTCTTGAGAAAATGAGGGAAACGTGAAGACAGGTGTTCCCACACAGGTCTAGCTCTTGATGTAAGCAGTTAACATTGTGACACGCTTAGGGTTATGCATGCAATGTAAATACTGGAGAGGAAGCATGACAGATATACAAAGACATGGCCTGATCTCTTGTGGAAGATTCCTGGGAAGATGTTCTCAATCCAGGCACTATCCGAAAGCTGAGGCGAACCAGAGGTGTTCTGGCAGCTGGGAGTGATCCAGTGCCTTATTAATGTTAGTGTTGCCTTTGTTTGGGCACCAAGGCATGGCATTAATATCAAATAATGTTTGAAGAAACAGCACCAGAGCACTAGGGAATGGAACATCTCATTAAACATGTCTGTCACCAGTTTTTTTTTCCACAAAAGTCCACAAAGAAACCTATGTACACTTCCAACCATTGCTGATACAGTATGTCAAGCAAGGAGAGGCAGCGTGTTGTCAAAATTCAACTTTTTGGATAGGGAAAGATTCCTCTTTGAGTGTCTCCACTGCAGGTCTGGCCATTTCACCGAGGACGCCACCAATCCCACAATCAGAGGGCGATAGTTCAGGTCCAGAAATTAAAAATCCAGACCAAGACCAGCTGAGTACTCTGTAAATGTGACTCTCTATACTCAACAAAATCTTGGTCTGGATTTTTACTTTCTGGACCTGAACTATCTACCTCCTGCTTGTGTGCCCTGTCCAAACCCTCCTGACTAAATGTTGATTTGTTGGGTGCCAGTAACTGGGGAATTGGGGGAAAATTACACAAACTAAAAATGCACCTCGACTATGGAAATTATTCAAAGAAAAAACAAACTCCTGATATGGACAGAGAGAGCATTTATACAGTGCTGGCCTTATCTGAAACTCTTGTGCAAAGGTGGAGCAAAATTAAGCTGTTTATCTAGCTGGCCTAGCAGGTCGTCTGCCCCAACCATTTGTAGGAACCGAAGAATTAATCTAATGCCCTGCTTTTCAGTTTCTCCTTGTGTGGGCGTGTGTCTGATTGCTTGATTGTTTTAAATGTCACAGATGTGCTGCCTCGCGTGTATTATCTATACAGTCTGATCTTCATGCAGATTTGAATCGGACACCAGCATTCTCTGAGCCACGCATATCGCGGGTGGTCTTTGTTAATTTTACATCTCATGCAGTGGGACTGTTAGCCGCTCCTGTTATGAAGGTGATGGGGGGGATGATTCCACTCTGTTATTTTGACAGGAATCGAAGAGGGTTTCTGCGCTGGAATCCGATGTTGCTCAGTTAGTTGTTTCATTCTCCGTGGCAGCAGTATTCTTGGTGTGTGTGTGTGCTGACATTTAATATTTTTGGGGTAATTTGAGAGCCCAGTGGAAGACGTAACCTGGTTTTAGACATCGGTGTTACATTCCAGCCAGGGACTCTACCTCTGATAGATTTCTATAGACTTAGTCCCTGGAACAACAACTACTCGCTGGGCACAGGTTAGGGTTGCTGTTGGGGTAACCTCTACCCTAAACCTAACCAGCAAAACCACAGATACAAAGATACAAAGTCCTTGCCACCCCCTGTCCGAAATGGAAATCGGGGATCTGGAATTGGCAAATCAAAACCTATATTAAACAGGACTAGACTAACTAGTCAAGCAAAATTTTATTGTTAAGTAAGAGTGGAGTTGTGTAACAAATAATTTTATAAAGCTCTGGTCAGAAATATCCAGCTGTCAGATTTATGCCGCGTTGAGTTTGCAGTGGCTAAAAATAATGAGTGAGTTTAATTTGTGACAAAGGATGACCCATACACAGAAGGCCAGAGACAGTCATTAAATTTGTTTCTTTAAAAAAGATTCTGTCATACGTGTGGAGCCTTGGAGCCCAGCTGCTGCTTCTGCTAGGCTCTTAGGAAATCAGGACCTTCAGATGAGATGAAACATGAATGGGAACCTCGCTGTGCTCCTGCTGCCCTACAGGGACAGGCATCTTTCCCAGATTTTTGCCATTTCACGCACGAGACGGAGCATTAAATCAAACAATGGTCAAGCGAGGACAGCGACGGAACTGCACGGCTGTGCTCACCTTTCTTGTCCCCGAAGAAAAGAGTCTGCTGTGCAGGGTTTGACCACTGGAGGGAGGTGTTGTCATTGTGATCCACGCGGCAGGTCATGTCGGCCGTCCCCCCCTCTGCCACTGTCACGTTATGTGTGATGGGGAACTGGCCCTGGCTGCCTGTGTGAAGAGAAGGAGAAAGAAGGTCACATGGGCTGGAGAGGGTCACATGGGCTGGAGAGGGTCACATGAGCTGGAGATGGTCACATGGGCTAGAGAAGGTCACATGGGCTGGAGAGGGTCACATGGGCTGGAGAGGGTCACATGGGCTAGGCTGCTCGCTGTACCATTGTTTCCATCCAGGAGTAGCCTTGGAGTACATTAGTCTGAGACTCACTGTATCTGTTCCTCTGCAACGAACTGCTCACTTTTATACTGAATTAAAATAGTGTCACATGATCCTGGAGACACCATTGTGTATATCGGAAACATAAAAGTTCCTACACTGCCTACACAACTTTACAAAAATGCATATTTTAATTTAAGAAAGGCTGCATTGAAGGTATTCTTGGTACGTGCCCCATCCAAGCCCGCCAAAGATTATTAGCATTTTTTAAGCCACACTTCCAAGCCTTCCGCCTCCCCCGGAGTTTTGAACTTCCAGCCACCCTTGACCAGTCCAGACTGTGAGTTTCTGCTCCGCCCATCTCCGTATGCCCAACGGCCCCAGAGCCACTCAGCTAGCGGGCCTAGCATCGAAGCCGAACCGCGCCTGCTGCGAGACCCCGCCTACTCATCACGCTAGACTGCGGGAGACAGTGCCACGCACAGCAAGGAGGGGGCATGGCATGACCCCAGTCATCCCCACAGCTTTACATGCTTGGCCACCACTTGTCCTCACCTTCCTGCTGCCCCCTGGCGCTGACTGACGAAATTACCTATATAGCAGCATCGATACAGATGGGGCTGCAGAGTTATCCCAAAACCTTAGCTGTGCTGTGCCTCCCATCACTGGCTGCTGCCAAAGCCACCACAGGCCATCCCACGCCATCACATCCGCATTTCCGCATGCATGTGGTCTCCCGGATTAAGCACAGGAGTAGCGAGAAACCAGGAAGTTGAACTCGGGTGTTTCCGTAGGCGGGAAGCCTGCGGCGCACTCTCTGTGGGTGAGAGACGAGGAAACACCCTAGGGTGAGGACTTACGATCCAGCAGGGCGAAAAAAAATAAAATCACACCCTCTTTTTGTGGTACCCTTGCAAGGCGTTGACTCCAATAATTCCGATTTACTGCACACCCACGGGATGACGACGGGAAGCATTTAACTCATAACACGGGAGGAATTTAATTGATATTGCAGAGCTGTTTTAACACAACACACCGACATACTGCTGACTCTAATTTGGGGAATAATTAACATCAAGCAATATTCCTTGACTCTGCACAGGTGTCTTACCATCAGCGAATAAAGCCTCCAAACCAGTAACTCACCAGTCACTAATCAGTGAACTGATTAAATCAATGTATCAATGATCAAGAAAAAAAATGGAAAAAGAGTATAAAGCCATATCCCAGTCAGTGTCATTTTAATAAAAACCAGCAAAGGTGGATTTTTACTTTCTGGACCTGAACTATCCACCTCTAAAAACCAGTAACTGGCTTAATTGTTGATATACCTGTATACAATCTCTAAATCCATCTTCTACTGCTTATCTTGGCAGGGTTTCTATTTTTTTTGGGGGGGGGGGGGGGGGTCAAATTATATGTAAAAGGGAAAATTTACCTTCCCAAATCATTCAAGACACCTCACAGCAAGACAAAGCCAAACATATACCAGTAATAAGTACTAAAGAACAAATAATATACAAATGAAAATATAAAGTGTAAATTTGTTTAGCGGCACGTGTCCTTTTCACATTAGTGCTTCTATAAACGTGTATCTTGACTATCAAGTCTGGATTTACTTAAGGGAGCTGAATGATCATTTTCTGTGTTCATAATTTTACTTTTGGGGTCTACTAGAAGAGATTTACATGCTTCAGTGTTCCAAAAGCATATTATTTTTCTCATACAGTACATTTTTGTTCACTCTGTCTATAACTGTCCGAAATGCTCCGTTAGAGCTTTAAGCCCCACCCCCGATGAACCCGGTGTGCTCTGATTGGTCAGTTTGCCCTACATGTTCCACTCCTGTTGGAAACAGTTACTGTGCGGGCAGTTGGTTATGTGTGGGCGTGCCAAACTTGCAAGCAAGTGGCCAATAAGGATTGCGTTATGAGGTGACATCACCATGTCAAGGAAGTAAGGGCTGGAATTCCAACAAGGTGTTTCAGACAAATTAGAGAAGAGTGGTTTCTGTGGTGAGAGTTACTACCTTTGGCATGTACTTTGGCCCCTAAGACTTTGCAGACCATTTACATGCACATACTGTAATGCTATGAAACACACTAAAGAAAAGGGAAAACTGGAAAAACATGATAGGGCCCTTAACTTTGGCTTTAAAAATGTTGAGAGCTGCCTCTATAGAATTTACACACAATATGCACATTTATCATACACCTGCAAAAAACAAGGTGTATACAATACAATAATAAACCCCTTGCAGTAGCACCAACATATGCAGATGTATGTATGTTCATTCCAGCTTAATTTTGCTAAATCACCTCGATGCAAATTTTTGCTCTTTGGGTAATGACTCTAATGGGAGACGGCGACGGGAACATCTCCAGCGTGATCTTTTGCAGAACCTTCTGAAAAACTGCTTGCCAGCAAAACATTTCTCTGCGTTTCTCACAGCTTTGCCTCTAGCCAGAAGGGGATGAAAGCGAGTGACATTTGCCCCGGAGATCCGCAGCATGCGCGCAGTGGAGGCGGTCTGCAATCAGCACCCGCTTTCCACTGGGGAAGACCTGGAGCTCCTGTGCTCTTTCCCGACGTTCAGGAACGAGGCCACCATGCAGAAGCATAGGATGCATTTCCATCCAGTAGCAATTCTACAGAATCTGCAGGAGCAGGAACTCTACTCCAGGCAAAGCAGAGAGTGTACGGGGGTTTTCCACAATGCATTAAAAATATATTGTCATATACTAAGAAATATGCTATTTTACAGTGAATATATTCACCTATCTTCCACGTATCTGGTACAGGTAGATGGTGCACCTATTCCAGGAGGCATAGGGCTTGGGGGTGTCCTGATGGGATACCAGCCCATCAAAGAACATTGAAGGAACCATCAGAAGCACTAGGAGAACCAGCAAATTGTGCACATGCAGAGCTGGGGATTAACTTCCAGTCTCCCAACTATCAAACTGAAGTGTAAAAACACGAAATACATGAAAACTCAATGAATAGCATTTAAGCATACAGAAAGCAACTCAAATAATTCAGTATTACATATTTGAGTGCATTATAATTTCTTTTTAATCAGTACTTTCTTGATTCGACTCAGTACTGCATTTACATATATTAAAAACTATAGATAATCCATATATTTTATTCCATAAGGAATGTCTGCTTGGCCCACATCTGTGGGCTTGGAATTTATTTGTACATAAAAAAGCATATAAGATTTTGTGGATTCAGCTGTCAGCCATTAGGATGTGTGGGGAAGTTGCATAGTAATAGACTGACACAGACTGAATGATTTTAGCTGCTCAACCAGATGATAAATTGTCCCGGAGAGGAAGGTGACGGGACCAGGCGGAGATTTAGGGAATGACATCGTCGTGCTTGGGGATCTCTGCAGCCTATCAAGTCCGAGATGAAGACGGAGTCATCAAGGGGATCCTAAGACCAGAGGATATGAGGAAGCAGAGGTCTGGGGGGTGGGGGGGGTGTGGTTGAGTGTCGGGGAGTCAAACACAGTTAAGTGTTTGAAAGGGACAATATGTGAGTCGGGGGTGGGAGAAGGGGATAGGGCAGCTTGGCTTGTATTTTGAATGCTGTCACACCTGGGGGGGGTTGTTGAAGGAGGGTGTGAATGTAGACGTGCCACCAAGGTCACCATGGCGACGTGTTAGGGGAGAGGGAGCAGAGTCACTCTGTCGCATTAGTGACAGCAGCATCATGCAGTGATTGCATTGGGGGGGGGATGTCCAGTTTAATGCACAAGCTTCATTGCACCTGAGAGCCAGGAGAGGAAGACACAGGAAGTGCATAGCAAGAGGTTAAGAGCTGTCACTCCTCTGCCTGGCCGGCTGGACACTGTCCTCACAGGGGCATCATCTCTACTCCCAATGCACGACGAGGACACGTCTAAGCTGCATATAAACAGGGGGCTATGCTTCATATCAGCTATGTATCAAGGTTTGTTTTATTTTGTTTGTTAGTTTTGTTTGATTTTGTTTGTGGCCATTGTAGCAGACAAATAACACAAACGTCCTACATACTTTTGTAATTCTGTACATCATCTGCAGAGAATAGAAGCCATTTGGCACTGGTCAGCAGAAGTGGTACCGATTTCCGTCAAAACTTCCTTTTGTGTGTGCAATTAAGGACCTGTAAGAGTCATTATTTAAAAAGCATTATATAAAAGCAAGTCAAGGTACCGCGGAAGCTTTCTGATGGTGCTTAGCTATGAATCAGGTTTCAGGGGTTTTTCTACAGCACTGTAATAAGACATTGGATGCTTTTGACGCATCTCACATCAGTTTAAGGAGATAAGCAGGTATTAAGGAGGAAGCACTAAGGGAGGCGAGGAGGAGGGGATGACAAGGGAAAAGAGGGCTAATCTGAATGAATCGGGGAGTAGATAGAGGCAGGAGGCAGGGCGGTGACCTCCTGCCTGATAAGCAGGCCGATAATGAGGCCTGTGCAGAGGGACTCAGGAGGCGCAGCACGCGTACGCCGCACCTCCTGAAGGAGGACCCTGCAAAGCAGGGAAGTGGCTGCGTCTCGCTGCGCCTCATCCTGGGGCTTTTCAGGTAACACATACATAACCGTAATTAACTATAACGGCATCCTGTGGTATCCCCTGCCTGGTGTCCGGTGCTTCATGGGATAGGGTTAGGCTGACCCTGCACTGAACAGGCTGCTAGATGGATGGATGGATGGATCTATTCTTTGGCTATATGTGATTACCAAGTAATCAGTAAATTTTTAACTTAATATCTGTTAGAGATATCTCGTATTGTGTTTCTATACAGGTTTCATAAATATAAACTGAATTTTATATATTTAT